ATATTTTCCGTAGTAATTAATCATGAGATGGCGATACATATTTTGATTTCAACGTGATTCCGCTATACATTTCAAAATACTGTTCTGAAGTATGAGGTTCAGCACCCAAACATACGCTGATGCTCTTAGATTCCATATACAGTGAAGAGCCATTCGTCTGGTGGGTGATGCCACAGTCAGTAACTCTTTGACCTCATCAGAACACCGTAGATAGTCTATAGATACTTCTACGGTTAATGTTCTTCTGAAATCTCTGTTATAATTCCATCACTAGCAATACCAGTGAGAAAAATTCAACAGACCCAGTCAGCACATCCTCTCGTCGTTAACCTTGAAATATGTCGAACAAACCTTCTACCGAAACTCGTTCGTCTATAGAACGGCGAAACTTTGAAATTCTTTGTCAATGGAAGTTTTCCCAAGAACTTATATAAAATCTCCAAATGAAAAACAATCCGGCACCTACCTCATCTCCCTATCCTCCCTAGGTACGCATTATGTTCCACCAACATTATAAAGGAATTTCCTTTCGTGGGCTCCAAGAGATAAAAAAAATATGATTCCGCGAACACAATGTCTGTTTCTATAAATCCATTTGAAGTGTCAACAATTTAAAAGAAAAAAACGTTTTCCGATTGATAAATCTTATACTTATCCGACAATATCTGTGAAAGAATGATTCACTCCAATCAAGATATCATTACAGAAGAACAAATCAGATATTTGTGAACTGAACACTCAAAACTTTGGTAGGTCTGAAACTGGGAAGATGTTAAAGGTAGAATATTGAGAAGGAAGAACAGATATATGTATAAAAGTGAAAAAAAACTCCCTATTTTCAGATCGTAGAAACGATTGTTGATTTATGTATATAATAAGAGTCTCTAACCATTCTCGACAGTAGGTAGTGGATAAAATAGTTTTCCTCGAAAGTATCAACAGAAGTTGTTTTTGCTCCGATTCAAAATAAATATTGAGGATTCATCAGTTTCTCATTTCAAGGAGACAGGATAACTTCAAAATATGGTAGTTTCGCAAAAAAAAAGTATAGCCTCGTGTTCAATTGATTGAAAACTACATAATCGAACACCATTGTAGAAAAATCGATTCACTCCAGCCAATATATCAATAGAGTAGATCAAATCAGATATTTCTGTAATGAAAACTTGATACGTCGCTTGAAACTAGATTGGTCTGATACTGAATTCCATTCGGATTTATGTTGCCGATTTCTAGTCTCCTAGCTCAAGTTTTTGCAAACTAATAGTAATTTCAATATGTGCTGCTATATCTAGTATATCTGCTATATACCAAAGCGATCACCACGTGACATCTGTCCAAGATCAATTTTCAGGTTATCAGGCATTTACAATCGATCACCCAAAAATAACTACCACCAACTGTATCGATAAAGTTTCGAATCTGTAGAATGAAAATCACAGATGCTCAATGGCTATCCATCATTCTCGTCTATTTCAATATGTGTGTTCTATTTCGGAACTGTTCCGTTAGTCCATAGGTACCTATTTATGAGTTATTATTGATTGAAGTGGTATCTGGTATTTGTATTTCCTGAACATTTCAAACAATATTCAGTTCATATCGATTCGCAAAATCATAACTAAATATTTAGGGTAATTTCACACACACACATTCATTAATGAGTGTTTGTTGAATCGACCGCCTCGTTGAATCGCATACAAGGTGTTATATTTCTGGTTTATTATAAACAATTTCAGAAGTTATTAATGGAGAAAAAACCGTTTTTGCCGCTGCTAAAGTAAACACATGTCGAACCAACATCCGGCCTGTATACGATAGTATACAGTTTAGATGAAATTTCCAGATGTCTAGATCTCCCTCCATGTAAAAACATCTGAATGTGTTATTTTAGAATGCTCACCAAAGAGCAACGTTCTCGATAGAGCTCGTCTGTTTATGTATATGACTATCAAATTTGCGAACTGTATATTGGCAGCCAGTCAAACATTAGAGTTAATATTTCATCTTGAAATTGAGACAGCTTGAGTGAAGGCAGTCCTACTGTTTGCTTGAATCCCTACATCATATTAATAGTATCCTAAATTTATTATGCTGTAAATATAGGTTGCAAACACAAACATTCAATATTTCAAACGCAAGTAACAAGTATACCTACAGACCTATTTATTCTATGATGTATCGATAACCTAATATACATAGTGAATTGTTTATATTATAAGATCTGTTGATGGTGGAATATTAAACGTACGATTGATTGTACATTGTATAACAGATTAAACAGATATAATTCGATGATTTGTGGTATTAGCCAGATATTTTACCAATATTCAACTCATTCTATTTATTCTAATAACTTGATAATTTCATTCCCAACTATCGTATTAGCACAGTGTCTTCACGTAAATCATTGAATTTAGGAAATTCTGTAATAGAATAACTCGAGAAAAATAGGTTTACGAATCTTGGGCTTGTCAGAATTATGACCAGGAATCGAATCGAATAATATGAACTAGGAAATATTCAACTGCACTGAAAATCTTCTAGTGTGTGACCTACGTAATTCATCCTGTATATACCTACATCATGGTGATCTCATCATTACTACTCAATATTTAAGCCTCTTCCTCTGATTTCTGTGTTCTCAAGATTTTTTGAAATCAATATCGCTGATGAAATTTATAATCACGTTCGTCAGATGATCATGGCTTTGTTAAACTCTGAAGTACAACCACCAACATGTGTATTTTGACAGAACTCATATCTAGTTCTCTGGATAAAACAAAGCAAGTTGATGTGGTATATACGGATATTGGAAAAGCCTTCGATAAAATCCCTTATCAACGTCTAGTGGAAAAATAAAAAAAATAAAGGTATATCCTCAAGATTGCAACACCTATTAAAATCGTTTTTGAATAACAGAAAGTTATTTGTGGAATATGGAGGAGTTGAATTCATCACGTTTGTGTCAACCGCAGGGGTTCCACAAGGTTCAAACTTGGGGCCACTGTTGTTTCTTTTATTTGTCAATGATATGTGTCGGAAATCGGAACCTGTTCTATATGCCGATGATTTGAAGTAATACTGTGAGATGAATGATTTTAGAGATTGTCAACAATTACAAAGTGACTCAAATGATTGGTGAATAGAAAACAATTTACTCCTCAACCACACCAAGTAAAAGGTAATGAAATTAAAAATTATTGAAACAATTCGCAAATTCCGAGGATGGATCCTGTGCTGAACGGAAAATGGAAATTTCTCTGAAACTAACTGAAAAGGGAATTAGGGTGCAATTTGAAGAACCAAAGTTAGGGGTGGTTTCTAGTAGAGTCACTGGATTGTATCAGAACCATGCAGTGACTCTAGTTTCTAGTAGAATGTTTGACATGAGGGTGATTCATTGTCTTGGAGAGCTTTTGCTTTCATATATTCCATAATATTTTGAATTCTTCTGTACATTCGATAACCCAGATATCTCCTGGCCTAAATAAAGCTCTGGGACACCTGGTATAGCCCTCTACTATTTTTTACTGTCAAAGTACACTACTGAAGAATGTTTAGAAAAACTTTCTGAACTCATAGACCACTAGACTGGATGTTTCTGGAAATGAAGTTATCAATAAAATGGGGTGTTCTATAGGACATAACACAATGATGAATAACAAAAAAAAAAAAGTTTTCGAATTGCCAGTTATACATACCCATGTCTTGTAACTATTATTGAACGTCCAGAAAACAATGATTCACAAAAATTTCAGGCTGCATTCAATATTTTAGAAATAATTTTATATGGACGAATATATTTTCTCCCATTCCGTATTTTCATTGTCTCCTATTACCACTTCATTTATTGCCCCAATTCCGAAAACACCTTGTATAATTGAATGATTCGTGAAAGAAGTTCCGTTTCTTCATCACGAGGAATGTATCTTTAGTAGTATTTGTAGAAAATATAGATGAACAACTTTTTTATTGAACTTTTTTATTGTCAGCCAATAAATGAGTTGATAGAGAATAGAGGTTCAGTTCAGAATATAAATGAAGACCCTGGATATTTGTATGGAACGCATTTGGACAAGGTATAAATGAAGTTATGTTTCATTACGATTCTCCATCAGTTTCAAAACCAATAATTTTGAAATTCGAATTTCGATTGTCATATGAAACGCTTGATTGTGTGATTGTTTCGGCTGCCTAACCTATATAATTTTCGGTATGTGAAGCTGTAATACAATCACCATTTGCAGCAAAATAAATACTGAAAATAGTTCTGTCGAAAAAGATAAAAATATTATACTAATAGGTACATCATAACATTCATCATCAATCTCTATTGTTATTTTCGTTTATTCAGATCTAGTTGGCCGTGAAAATTAGAGACAATGAATTGGTTGCCATATTTGGTAAACTCGAATAGTATCTGATACGTTTTAACTAACTTCTGCTTTCTTCTGAGCAAATTACAGATATTTTTTTGGAATCAGTAGTGCGACTATACCGATTCGCAGGCTCCTGTCCTCTACGAAAGCATTGGGAGGTCATCGCAGTTATTATTCATAATTCCGATTCAGTATCTCGGAATTCCGACTGGAAATTAATCAATTCCTACTTGAAATGTTCGAATCTCAACTAAATACCTCGGAATAACCAGTCCGAATTCCGAGATATTGCACTATCTTGAAAATTATGCATTTTTGGAGATATGGTAAGATGAAATTCTCGTCTTGGAATCTCTAAAAAATCGCCCCTTGAAGTTTGTTCACTTAGTGAAATACACTTTCACTGTAGAATTCAGAAATTTAAGGAATATCAACGTTTGAATCGTGACTTTTTGAATATTTCAAACAAAATCAGAAACTTGAATGTTGCTTTCAATCAAGTTTGTTTTGGAGAAAAATCGTTGGCGCTGTAACTTTTCAATTTTTTCTCATGTTTTTTAGAAATTAGTAGGGGTAGAACAGACTTTTTGACGAGCACTGTATAGCTTTTTTACTTACAGTTGACGCTGAGAGTGACAGTGGACACAAGCTTCTTGTTGTCTGGTAGCGCCCTATTCCACACCTCGCACCTGAAGATAGCCTCATCGTCGTCCTTGGTAGGGTTGATTGTGAGGGTAGCAGTGGTCGGTTGCTCCCTCGAGCCGCCATTTTTCAGGGCTGCCTCCAAAGGGTATTGCGAACCTGAAAATAAAAAAACACTGTTAACTATCTGTATAATATTTTTATGACCAAGAGATTGACCTAAGAAAAATAGTCATACACTTCGATAGTTAGAAGGAAGGCAATCTGTGTCGCTTTGTTGTTATGTGTTTTTCACACTCCAACTAACGGCCTTAAGCAAATTAATATCACAATTTGTCGAGAAGACCAGCATTTTGAATCCAGTTACTGTCCACCACAAACTACAAGTTATAATTTTGAATCCGGCTCGAAGGACCAAAAATGTTGATTCAAAATATAAAATGTAACCATTCATAAACAGTCATTTGGACGATGAGAAAGAGTGATTACAGATCTTAGTGAAAATATCAACAATATATCGCATAATGTCTCACAATCCGTTTTATGACCAATCCACTATGAAATTTTTATGTTGGCAACACTGGAAATAAGAAGAAATGTAGATGAAGACCATTCTATATCCTTTTTTATATTGAGGTTGATATAATCTTCGTTTTTTTCCAACATGAAATTTCCATTATTTCACGTTCGAACACCTGACAAGGACAGATGGGAAAGACAGTTTTTTCTCTCCCAACGCTAGGTGAGCTGCTCTAATAGAACTTTGTTGTTGTGATGTTGAGTGTTGCGTTTGTTCATTTTACAGCGTTGCCAATTTGAAAAATGAAATTTACTAGCATCATCAGGAGATCATAGTTTTCATCATCGCTATCGTCGTTAGCGAAGGAGCGAAACAATTATAAATATTATTGGGAGATGATAAGGCAATGCCCTTAATTGTCGCCAAAATTGAGTGTTGGCAAGTTGACCTCACCCATCACTTTGAAGTATCCATTGAACAATAGTATGGTCACGAATCAACGACGAAATTTGCTGATGTAAGTTCAGATTCTCCAAGTGATATCGAGGAAGCAACACAAAAATTAGTGTGAGAAGTGTAAAATTACATGTCGAATTTGAAGAAATATTCTTTTTCATGCATACACCTTACACGGTTGACCAATGTGGAAGTACGATTATATAATATGAATAATACTTGTCAGGCGGTTTGACAGTACCTACCCAATTTCAGTTCAACATCGGTACTTGTTAATCATTATCAATCAATCAATGGTAATATTTTTTGAAAATGTAGATGTGGTTTTCCCTCATCACTTGATGAGTAACTATTTTCAATTTTAGTCATACAATTTATCTACAACAAAAACAAATCTGATGAATGGAGTGAAAATTCCATCAGTCGCCTATTCTTCAAAACATGTTGACTACAATATTCAACACACAAACAAAATTAATAATATAGCCATCATATTGTTGGCACCATGTTGGCACTGTTCCAATTCACTGACTAATTAACCTTATTCAAGTAGACATCTTGTCATCTTAATTTCAATTAATGTTTTCTCCTGAAATAGATGCTGTTTTTTCAATCTCGTTCTTTCTTGATATTGATTTTCTATCTCTTGGGGAGCAAGAAAGAAATCCTTATTAAATTCGCGTAACATCGTACGTACCTATAGGAGGGATATGGTGAGAAGGTTGGTATTGTGAATCTATTTTGAAATTTTTAGGGGTTTTGAGTTCGTAGAATACTTCCTTGGACAAAGAGTTCCGAAGCTGTGCTGTTCCATAGACACAAGAGCTTTGATAGAGAGTTGTTCGACATATCTCGGAGATGTTTGTAAGTTGGTAGATATTATTATAGGCCTGCAAAATTATTTTTCCTTAATACCCTCCAAAAATATCGATCAAAGTTGAATTGGGAATATAAAGTTTTATGAGATGAACCATAAAACACTTCAGGATGCAATTTGAAATACCAGAGTGAACTTTCTGTGGTTCATTTGTTCTGACTACTCTGAAAATCTGTTTCTATATAGAGATTCCTTGTGATATTTCAGGAAATAAATTTCATATAAACATGTGCCCCAATTTGCTTCTTTTTCGAGATACCGGGTATTAATATTTCCATGAAAAATCTTTTTTCTATTCATTTCTCAGTTGTCTTTTCATCAATTTCAATAAAACGTTGTGGTTTTGTTGATAGTATTATGGAGCTTCTTCTAGTGCAATTAAATTCGAAATAATATTTCCAGTGGCGTCACAGTTGGTAAATTTATCGAGATGCATGGTGAATGTCATTGAACACCACCGATTTTTCTGAGATTCATATTTTTATCAGATTGAACTATTGAAATAACAACTTTTTTATCATATGTGTGATTTTTGTATCTAGCTTAGTTTTTGAGGAAACAATAAATATTCGATTTGACTCCAAATTCTGATGTAGGTATGTTGAAGACTTCCATTGAGATTACCTAATAACTCCAATTATAATCATTTTGAAATTTTGGGATTTCCTCAGTCTCCATCCATGCTGAATTTTGGCACCATGAAAGCTCATACAGGAAAGTTATTAATCAAAACTACTATTAATACTTCCAACTTCAACATGCTGTATCTCAAGAACGGAGCAAGGTAGAACACATGTTTATATGAACTTTATTTTCCAGAAGGTCAAAGGAAACACCCCTGATGAGAGTCACCCTATATAAACAAGTCATCTAGGCGAAGGAAATAGCTTTCCAGGCTGAATTAAATTCACCAGAATCTGAATATCTAACAATTAATACAATGCATGTATTTGACCGAATTCCAGCTGGATAATTACTTGATTGCAAATCTGCATAGTGAATTCGCTCGCAATTTTATTGTACATTTAAATTAATTTATAGAAATAGGGTACCTATATATGAAACAATGGTGGCAAAATAAATATTCCTTCTAGTTTAAACATGAACAATTCCGCTCTGTTCGATTGAAGAGAAATCATTCTATTATTCTTGAATTTAATGTAAACTCGAGATACTGAAGAAAGTATTTGCTGGTGATAAAAAGTCACCAATTTACTCTCATACAATACGTTCGTTGCAGTTTCACATCATTATGTTTTGTATAGTATCACGGCATTGGAGAATCATTCTCAATTTTTCAAATATCACTGAAACAGTATAGCTACTATTAACGCCCAACGATGCTCAATGGCATAAAGTCATCAATGAAATTACAATAGACCATTAACCTATCAGATGAACAACTTTTCATTGGGAATGCACTGAAAATACATCTGTCAGTCATTACTGGGCCATCAATAAGTGAGCAATACATTGGAGTACTACTTCGCCAGTATTATTGGCACTAAGTCAGCCAGCAGGTCACTTTTGTGATTTACCATTGAAAAATGCCAGTATTTCCTCAATGACAATTCCACGACGTTTATGAAACTGCCATCTCCTGCAATAGAAGAACATCTTGTCAGCTGGTATGACATGGAGATAACAGTTCTACTACAGTTCTACAGATCTACTTGGTAGAATGTAATGAACTCTGGCCATTTATTCGCCACATTAAGTATGCTTTACCTGCAACCATATACTTGTCATGGTTTTTGGGGAATAATAAACGTATTATTATTATTATTATTATTTGTTCGTGGAATAGGCGAGCGGTAATATTACTAATTAGCAATAAAAGCTCAATTGTCTCAAAATGTTCTCTTATGATTTATGGTTCATGGATTAAAATGAATTTGTGTGAATATTAATTATATTTATTCACACTAGAGGACATTTGAATCGGTGAACGTGACAATATGGTGCACGACTCGTGGGCGTGGTCTCGTCAGTTCTCAGCATTCAGCACAATGTTGCCAGGTCTTCAACATTTACATGATATTTTGTTATGGAGAATAAGAGATATTTGGACATGCTGGTTGCTCGAAACAGGACTCTACCATCTTTTTGATAACTCGATTATATATGGTGACTTGACCTTCCTTCATGAGTGGAGTCGGAAGATTATCTGACCAATAACGAAACAGCATGAAAACTGATGTCACTAGTTTTATTCGTATCGTATCGCCAAATGGCGGCTATGAAGGTTCGTTTGAAATGAGCTCTGATATTCAACAATTCCAAATACCGCATAGAATCATTATTTATATGCAAAAACATATGAGACGTATTGCAAAAACTAATTTAGGTTGCTAACGACACATATAAGGAGTAATTGAATGCCAATAATCTATTATCAGTCCACTCGTTCATTGTTTCGATGAATACAACTAGTTTTCACAATACTATCCAAAATTCTATCACCTCCATATGCGAGCCATTGGGTCTCGTTGTTATCTGACAGAATCACTATCAATATTATACAGGTTTCAAGGTACAAACTGGAATGGGTGATAGATCTCATAATTTTGATCAAAAAAGTGTGTATAAAGAAGTGACCGATCTCGATCAGTCGCGGAGAAAGAGGGGGTCAAAGATCAATTATTATGTTCTCTATCAATTGATATATCTCGTTCACTTCTGGAAATGTGGTGTTTTCAATACTTTTTAGAATATCATCATGTGAAGCATTTCAAAGATTTCAAGAATCCACAGGGTGATACGTTTTTGAGGGTAGAAGCTTCTTCATTCCCCTCAAACTTTTTCTTAGCACGCCATCTTCTAGTTACCAAACAGGATGGATCGTTCTACTTGAAGACTGCATCTATATTTCAGTTTTTTTCGATAAATGCACAGTTTCGTGTAATCACATATCGATTTCGCCTATTATGATTCGCCTAATGCAATAAAATATACCAAATTCCAGTCTGAATCAGTTGTATCCATGCATATTCCTTATCCAATATCTTTATCAATATCATTTGAACTTGTCGGAAAGAATCTTCTTGCGGAATGTGATTATTTCTGTTATGTATAATCAAAGAATAAAATTCAAGAGTAAAATATAGATAAAATTAACATGTTTTAGAACGGATATGCTTAATCATCTCGAAAACGGATCGTTTTTTGGAAAACATTTAGAAGCAAAATACCTCTAAGATGAACGAACCACCCTATTTGGTAACTGGAAAATGTCAGAGGCGTGTTACGAAGAAGTTTGGAGGGGAAAAGAGTCCTATACCACCGAAAACGTATCACCCTGTAGAT